GGCAAAGGCCGTGCCAGAAGTCAGCAAAGTCATGGGTAATAAAGGAGTTGGTCAGCAGCAGGAGTAAAAGCCAAAGTAAGAGGAGGGGAGTGCCTCTAAAACTCAGAGGTAGAGATGCAGAGGTGGGAATAAGACCCAGAGACTTGGTGGCAAAAGACCAGAATGCAGCTGCCTGTCCCTGAGGAGCAGGCTGTGCAGCCAGGAGTGACTGGTAGGACTCTTTCGCATAGTTGTCAGAGGTGGCAACAACTTGCAAGGCTCACAGGCCAGTGCTGCATGCTTGGGCAGCTGCTCGTTGTCAGATGAAGCTTAGCTTGACAGCAAGTGAAAGCTATCAGGAGGCTGTAGCTTTTTTTTTTTTATCAGCTTGGAACCGGTAGTGGCTTGCAGACTCCGTCCAGTTTGTGGTTGTCTTTGCTTCTGAGAGATCAAAATGGATAATGCGATTTCAAGCTGTGTCCCTGCAGTTCTCTGTGGAGAGGGATTTACAGCGGGGGCACAGAGCTAGTCTTGGTTCCCTAGCGTTACAGACCTGTTCTTTCCATTCTTTGTAAACATACTGTTCAAAGATCAATCTTTATGCTATGCCGTTGCGCTGCTTTGCACACCTTGCATTTCCATGGCTTGCCCCTCCCATTGACAATCTGAAGTTGATTATTTTTCCTCATGAGTTTGAACAGTTTTCACATGTAATATTACATCATTTTCAAAGTCACAGATTTGCACAGGATTCTTTTTCTGCCCTGAAATGTGCAAGTGTCTCTTTCAACTTTTTCTTAATTGAAACCTGTAATATGTGTACTTTTGCCCCACATTTCTTGAGAAATGTGGTGATGCAGAGGGAAGAAAGGAATGAGCCAATATGATCTGGGAATAACCTTTGTTTATCTGAGATAGCTACAAGGTAGTACCAAGTTCCTTGGGGAGGTTTGTGAAAATACTCTGGCTGCTACACCAGAGATGGTATAGGAAGAGCATTAGGTCACAAAATACTGGTTGCTCCTTACGAAAGGATTGGAGCAGTGGTATCTCCTAAGGGGCTTAATTCTTTGCTGGTGCTGTAGGGTCCTGTGAAATGTCAGTCCAACCGTTTTTGTTTTTTTTTTTTCCTTGGCCATTTAGATATGCAACCAGCTTTTGATACACAAGGTAACATCATGACTGTGTGAGTCATGCATTTAGATTTCAGCAGAGACCCTTATGCGCTATTGTGAGCCCAGCTTTCAGAGGTAGATTCAGATTGGGTGCTGGCACTTCTTTTGCATGTCAGAACATATTTAGAAGCCAAAATGCCAAATTATATCCCTGCTCTAGGTACCTGTGGAAGATAGCCCTTCCTATCAGATGCATTTGTTCACTGACAGCCTGTTAGGCCTGTGCTGAAAGGCACAGTCCTGTTGGCACACAGCTGTGTGATATGTGAGCAGAGTCATGTTAACATATGTATACAAATGTAAGGTCTCTTCTGCTGATGCTGACATGCTGCAGAGTGCACACTTGTGATTCGTTACCAAACTGAAACATGACCATGTATTTTCCCTTGGCAGAAAGCTGTAGGATTTTGTAATTTACAGGACCAGGTCTCTGACCAGTAAATCCTGTTTTGAAAGATGCCAGAGACTTGCGCAGACTTCCTAAAAAGCTACCGTTTCCTCTGAACATCCAGTATTTGGAGGTAAAGAGCTTGTTGTGCTATTCCTCTGATTATTCCTGCACTCCACAGTACAGTTTCTTCAGAGATGTGCTTGTATCTGGTCTGGTTCCTGATCCTTAAGCTTCTCACAGGAAGCACGAAACAAGGAATACTGGAGAGAGGACAGACCTGTTTAGCAGAAGTCACAGTAACTGCGTCTGGCTCATTTGGTTTCTTCATGTGCTGTGCTATCCAGTGCTATCTCCTTTACTTGTCCTCAATGGATGTGGGACAGAAATTAGGCTTATTGTGTAGCTTTGTGTCTGTTGATGACAGGTCAGATCAAAGACTTCCAGAAGAGTGCATAAGTGCTTCAGCTGGGCTTGGACGAGGACTCAGATGAAGTAATGGGATGAGACGAGACCATTGCTGGAGGAAGTGATAAATGTTTCTGGCACTTAGCATGAGGTGCAAGAGTCAAGGCTGCCACCTCTAGTTTCTGTTAACAGTACTTTCTGTTGCAAAAGTGCTGATCTTGAGACCTTCAGTATCAGAGTTGTTCTGTTATCTCAGAAAAGAAAGGGAGAGGAAAGAAATGGAGTAGGGCAAAGCTGGTGGCAACATATTTCAGAAGTGTTTGGTGTCTTATTTGAGACCTGAGTGGCGAAGGCTGGCAGAAAACAGTTTCCCTTAGCCTTTCATCTATATGTGCTTCCTCACTGGAGTATGTCTGCTTATCAGGTTCCTCTGTTCTAGATGCTGCGTTAGAGAGAAGTCATTGCTTCATCTTTTATCACTTGGCCAGTCCTGGTTTCTAAAACTGACAGAGTTGACACAGACAGTTGGAGGCAGCACAGTAGATTATGTCAGGATGACAGCGTTCCCTTTTGCAGTTAGGGCTTGCATCACCCTTGAAGTGGTGGTGCAAATTGGAAGATGTGAACCTCTAGTAATGTGATTATTACTACAAAACTCGACAAGATTTTTAGTAATTTGAAAATAATCCTCATGTATTTCTGTGAAAACTTAACTCCCTGGCCTAGTCATACAGCCTCTCACTTGTGTGCCTGTGAGGAAAATGCTAGTTTAGGTTTCTTTACCTAGCAGCAGAATGCTGCTGTTTGTAGTTAGGTCAGTTTTCCACAGCCTGCAACTGTTACTGCATCTACAAAACTAAAAAATTCTGTGTCTTAGGAGCAGAGAAGACAAGAGGCCTCTCCTATCTGGACTATTCTCTTTTGGGAAGGCTGGAGACTGGTGCATGAAGTAGGAACGTGTGGGTTGGTTTTACAGCATGAAGATAGTGGCTGATAGGCAATACTCGTTGCTGTGTCCTGGGTATGCACATGGATTTATACTCCCCTCCCTGTTGGTAGCTTCAGTCTTCTCAGACATTGCCAGGAAGACTGCAGTCTCTTAGGAGCTCCCCTCTGGGCTCCAGATGCCCTACTAACAGCAAGTTCTGCTCTTGCAATGTCAATCATGGTTGTGCAGATGACACAGTTTTGAAATACCATCAGTCTGTACCCTCCTCTTTTGCTTTCTGGAAAACATCACAGTTGTGTCTGGGATGCAGCAAGACTGGGTCATTGAACTGAAGGCAGGAGGGCCTGAGCGCTGTCACTCAGTCCCTCAGCTGGCGGATCAAACTCTTGCTTTGAAGAATTACTGTGATACTGGTGATTCATTCTGCACAATAATTAATGTTTGAGTGAGCCTTTTGCATGGTTTAAAGGAATTTGGAGATGCACCGAGGCAGTACACTTTGCTTTCTCGTTTCATGTCCAAACATGTCCAGAAGACATCTGATGTTGGCCCCAGTGAGGAGCTTACATGAGACTAGGAATACAAGTTGGGTTTGGGTTTGTTTCAGTGAAGTTCCTGTCTCCATCTGATGCTCTGTGCTTCTCCACCAGGTTTTCAGTTGCTGTAGGATTTACTGTAGAGACATTTTTTTAGAAAAAGAGTTGATTGTCATAGCCACATTGTTCCTTTGAGGGCTGTGAGTCTCTGAATTGGTTGCAGATCACATCAGTTTGGTTGTGCTGTCCCACAATAGTTCTTCATCCTTTCTGTGGCTTTTAAGTTTCCTATTTGCTGCCACTGCTTTTATCCTAGATAGTCTGTTTCTCCACTGATTCAGTGGCTGTGTGCACCAAAGGGGAGGGAAGCTCTGAATTCCTTATACAGTCTGAGTCTGTGTTTACAAAGGTCATGTGAGTTAATATGCCCTGTGGTTTTTAACACCTGCATCTATTATCTGCCACAGTGTAATGGGAGATGGCAGGACCTCAGCAGGCATGACAGTATGACTGCTTTTATACTTGATGACTGTTTCAGAGTGCTGGGGGATGGTGTGGTTTGTGGAAGTATTGCTTTCATCTTTGCCCTTGGCATTCTAAGACAAGTTGCACAGTCTGGTCTAAATACCCAGGAGGGAGGAAGGGACTTGGGGCTGTGGTCCTCTTCTCTTCCCAGTCAGCACTGTGGTGTGTGAGGCATGCCCCTGCTCACCTGATGCTTTTGTCTGAGCTACGGCACAGTTTTCTGCCACCTCCTATCTTTCACAGAGTGGCAGGCTTCCAGTCCTGAACTGAATCACTCAAGTTAAACTGGTACAGGCCTTTAACGTAGTTGCTTTTTAAATCAGTTAATCCCTTTAGCTTTCATTGGTAAATCACTGAGTTAAGATCAACTGATCAAATGCATGTTCAATCAGATTAGGGGTGTTTACATTAGCAGTTTGCATCAGTTTCACTAAGTCTGTGCAGCCCAACCAGTAAGGCCTTTTTCTGTGCAGGTGGAGCTTTTGGGAAAAAGTGATTTGGTTTGCTTTCCAGGTTCAGGTTCTGTAGTGGAGTTAGTGCTGCATAATAAAGATGCTTGTCAGTTTGGTTTCGAGGTTCCAGAAAAGGGTATTGTCAGAATGTTGGTGGTGAATCTGTTTCCTGAGGCTGGTGTAATCATTGTTTTCCATAGGTATGATGCTGGCTTTCAATTTGTCACCCTCATCTTTGGTACATCATTGATCTTTGGCACAGCTTTTGGCTACTGATATTAGTAGGGAAATTTGATGTTTTGTCTTTGCTAAATGATTGTATCAAAATTGTCTTTTACAATTTTCTGTGCCTGGGTGTACTAATCTTTTACCTGTTACCACAGTTTCTTAAAATACTGAATTTCAAGAGCATACATATTGATAAAACACAGTTAATTGTCACTTTTAATAAATAAGGAAACCAAGTCTTGAAGCTTGCTTGTGATGCAGCTTGTAATAGATTTTGAGAGTTAATAGCCTCAGTAATTGCACTCTTGCCTCTTTCGCATCTGTGGGGTTTTGTTTGTTGTTTTTTTTTTTTTTTTCCTACAGGTCCTTCCTTTCTGACTTTCAGTAGCAGAGAGAAACTAAAGACGTTGAAGAAAGACGCCTGTGGCCTCTTGCTTGGCAATAACAATGCTGCAGCAATGAGATTATAGTGAGCCCTTCCTGTGTGGCCTCCATGGGTCCCACTCAACTCAGCACACAGGATCATGGGAAGAGGGTGGCAAGTGTATTTGAGATGGAGGAGGAAGGGCTTTCGCTCTTCTCTGGCTCAGAGAACCCTCCTGAGCATGCAGGTATGGAAAAATTTTTACTAAATCCATGCAAGCTAAAGGCTATCCATGCTTTCAGCTGCAGGCAGAATTGATACTTGGCAAAATTTTAGAGTGAGTTCTGCTGTGCTTGAGGTACTCTGAGAGAATGTCTAAGAATAGAATCGGTTACCCATAGTTGAAGATGACTGGGTTTATCTGGGTGATAAATGTATTGAATACTTTGTTTATTTGACTTCTAGAGACTAGGTCCGTGGCAGCAAAATGAATTTCTTTTTGTTAGCCTTATCAAAAAGCTGTTGAACGGTAAAGCTTTACTACAGGTGACAATCCAATAAGGGTTAGTGATGCAAAGAAATAGAAGCTTCCTGCAGATTCATATAATGGAAAGACAGTAGAAGTTTTCTCTATGCATTTCTGAGGTTAACTGAGGTTAAAAGAGTATCAGGAAATACAATTGAGATTTTGCAGTTGTAATTGCGGCTGATGCACACAATCCCACCCTTTGAAACTGTAAGAAGACGTAGTGTAACATCTCTGGACAAGTAACAGGAAAAAAAGGAAGGCACAAGTGAGGTGTCCAGTATAGTATCAGCAACTTAATGGAAATACGACAAATAAATGTATTTGAACAGTGAGGCAATGGGCAATTCTGATATAAAAAGAAGAGGTGATCTGAACATTGAACGAGGAGTCACCAGTAAGTAGAAACAAAGAGAGTAGTTGAAAGGTCAAGATATTTTACCCAATAAAAGTCCTTAAAACAAATTTGAGGACAGTAAAAGAAGACAATTGACAAAATACAAGGAAAAAAGCCACAAAATGTGGGAAAAAAAAATATTAAATAGGAGATCTACCAAAGGAGGAGGACCCTAATGAAAGCTAAAGTTGCAGAGAAGGCATTCATGCTTGATGCATCTCAAATTATTTCTGTGTTATCTCTGATTACAGAAATTCACAGAATCACAGACTGTTAGGGGTTGGAAGGGACCTTGAAAGATCATCTAGTCCAACCCCCCTGCCAGAGCAGGACCACCTAGAGTAGGTCACACAGGAATGTGTCCAGGCGGGTTTTGAATGTCTCCAGAGAAGAAGACTCCACAACCTCTCTGGGCATCCTGTCCAGTGCTCTGTCACCCTCACAGTGAAAAAGTTTTTCCTTATGTTTATGTGGAACCTCCTGTGCTCCAGCTTGCACCCGTTGCCCCTTGTCCTGTCGTTGGCCATCACTGAGAAGAGCCTGGCTAATAACAATAATAAGCTATATAACGGAAATGGTTAGTGTTCAGAGATGGAAAATAATTTGCACAGATCAAAGAATAAGCCTATCTGTTTCAATAAAAGTCATAGGAATGGTAATCAGAGGTTTATGTAGCATCTTAAAGACAGCTAAGAAATCTGCAAGATCAACAGATCCATCTGGTGGAAGTCATTGGATTACTCTGCTGTCCCTCAGAAACATGTGAACATCATTTGAGGCTTCTGCACCGTTGTTATACCAGTTAATAGATATGCAATGGCAGACTAAGTAATTTGAAATAACTGTAGGCATTGCATAATTTCCTCTTGGTAATAGATTGTTTGAAGAGAAATACAGTAGAACTAGAGAGGGGGAATATCAGAGACTTAACGTTTCTGATGACATTTTCCTGCTGTCCAATCTGCAATGAGAAGTGCAGGCCAAAACAAGTGACCTCCAGACCTCTAAAGTCAATGGGATTGAAAATCAATACCAAGATACTTAAGTCTGTGAAAATCAGTATCTGGTGAAGAACACTAATGGTAATTTCTGAGACTGACCTGAAACTATGTACTATTTCAGGAACTCAAGCAGAATAGTAAGTGTAACTGAGAGTAAAGATAGAAGGATTAGAACCATACGTACGAAAATGAGACATGCCATTGTAACTCTTATGCTGATCAGGAAATGCAGCAGCCTTGTCCTGCAAACCAGTCCCTGTGAATTGACTCCAGTGTAAAGGCTTTCCAGGCATATCTAAACAATCTGGAGACTTAACAAGACATGCTGTTTATAATCTTTATGAACAGCTGCCATAGAAGAATATGTAATATCTAACATACAGAAAAATACTTGTACTATGAGCTGTGCAGAAGGACATGTCAGATGTCAACATGGCTAGAATTAAAGGGAATGAAAAGAGATGGCTAATAGGGAGGGAATACACAAAAAACATCGGTAAGCATTTGGCTGGAATCCTTAAGGTGAGACACGTTGGAATAGAGCAAAGATGTTTTCAGAATGCACAGCCAGTGACAAGATTAAAGTCCATCAGAATGACATAGGAAGAACTCGGAGATGCTGCACAAGATCATCTGAAATGTAAAGCAGTAGTGAAGGCTTTATGTTTCAGATGGAATAACAAGGTTTAGTAAATGAACTGTCAGTATGAGAGTGCTTCAGTTTTAGGACTGGGGACCACTCTTCAAGAAGTGGTGATGGCTTCGGGGTTCCAAAGGTTCACAAAGCTTATGCAGTGTGCTGCTTGCCTCCTTATTGCCCCTAACTCCGTGAAGTTGCTGTCTTCTGTCTTGACAGTTTCCCCAAGTGTTCAGTTACAGGGATTGCCTACTCAGTCTGCTTTTTGTACGGTCACAGTTTCAGCACTGGTTTTCTGCGACTGTTTGACTG